GAACTGCTGAGGCGTATGCAGACGAGTCTCGCCAGCACGTCACGTTTGGTTGTCGAACTATTCCTTAAGATCCAAAGTGACAGTGAGAGTGAGGAGTCCGATGATGCTATCGAGCTGCATAACGCGTACAACATGAAATTGCTTGTGGCATTCACGGACATGATCAGCACTGTGGAACGCCGCTTTTGGGCTCAGGAAACAAGCACCGAGTGGTGGGATCACATCGTCATGGAAGTCTGGGATGACGAGCAGTGGATGCAGAACTTTCGGATGAGAAAAGCCACTTTCATGGGACTGTGTGAGGAGCTCGCCCCCACCGTGCGGCGCAAGGACACGAGATTGAGAGCTGCCCTGCCAGTGGAGAAGCGGGTGGCTATTGCAATCTGGAAGCTGGCAACTCCAGACAGCTACCGGTCGGTCGCAAACCAGTTTGGAGAGGGAAAGTCGACCGTTGGAATCGTGTTGATGCAAGTTTGCAGGGCCATTAATCACATCCTGCTCAGAAGAACCGTGACTCTGGGTAACGTGCAGGACATAGTGGATGGCTTTGCACAAATGGGGTTCCCTAACTGTGGAGGGGCAATAGATGGGATACACATTCCTATTCTGGCACCACCCCACCTACCATCCAAGTACATTAATCGGAAGGGGTATTTCTCTATGGTTCTCCAGGCGCTTGTGGATCACCGTGGGCATTTCATTGACATTAACTCAGGCTGGCCCGGAAAGGTCCTGTTCAGGAAGATGCAGGCTGGGACTTTTTTCCCAGAGCAGAAGATCACTGTAGGGGAAGTTGAAATGCCCATTGTGATCCTTGGAGATCCCACTTACCTGTTAATGCCGTGGCTCATTAAACCCTACACAGGGAGCCTTGACAGCAGCAAGGAACAGTTCTACTACAGGCTGAGCTCGTGCCGAATGACTGTGGAGTGTGCCTTTGTCCGTTTAAAGGGCTGCTGGCGATCTCTGTATGGGAAGCTGGACTTGTCCGAAAACAGCATCCCCGCGATTATATCCGCGTGCTGTATCCTCCATAATATTTGTGAAGGGAAGGGTGAAAGCTTCACTCAGGCATGGACCTCTGAGGTTCAACACCTGGAGGCTGAATTTGCACAGCCAGAGAGCAGGGCTATTACAGGGGCCCAGCGCGGGTCTGCAAGGATTAGGGATGCCTTGAGGGAGCAATTTGAGGCTGAAAACCAGCAGTCTCTTCCTGAGTCTTTGCAGTCTCTGACCAGGCGATAAGAGGGATGGCTGAGGTCTCAAGGTTGATGCAGCTTTATAGGCAAAATGCAACATTTAACAGAGGCAGCATTGTTTATACCAGACAGAGTAATGATTTCCTCCGCACTTAAGGAGCATAAAACACAGGATTACACAAGAGCATAATTTTCCCGTCCCAAACAGAGCACACATATCCCATGGGAACCTCAAAATGGTGAGTAAGGGGGACTGATTGTTTCAGGGCTGGGCTGCACTGTCCTCTGGGTTTCTGTCCCTTGAGAGAGCCAACAGCTTCAGGGGGCACCTACACTGAACACTGTACCAACATTTTCCACATTATCCTGGACGATATCTCGCTGCTGAGGGTGACCTGGGAAGCAAGGGAGGGTCTTCTACTGCAATGCGGCTTCTGCCCTGGCCCATATGCAGCTTGCCTGTGTGCAGCAATGGTCCCCCCGCCCCTCGCGGCACAGTGGCGCAGACACATTAGCCTGGCTGGGACAAGGACCACGGTGGCTCTCCTGATAAACCTGCGCAAGCGCATTGCACACGTTCTGGATGAGACATTCAAAGAGATTACCGAGGCCGATTACCGCGATGTGATAAACCACATCAATGCACTATTCCGCATCTAGGCATGCATGCCTAGCCCTCCTCTCCCAAAGAGCCCGCACCGAAAAAATTCCTTCCCGAAAAAAAAAACCGCTTACCGGGAACCTGCTCCTCTGTTTGTCCTCCACGAAGTACCGGCCACTGCGACTGGCTACCTTCCTCCTGGCTCGAGAAGAGCTCCTGGCTGCATGGCTCCAGGGATTCCGGGGTGTCTCCATCCGGACCAACACCCTCACTCCCGTTTTCTAGCTCCTCCTCCTCCTCCTCACCCCCCCAACACCGGCTCTGAAGTTTCCATGGTGGTGCTCGGAGTGGAAGTGGGGTTAACCCCAAGTATCGCATCCAGCTCTTTGTAGAATTGGCAGGTCACGGGGGGAGCACCTGAGTGGCCGTTTGCGCCGCGGGCTTTGCGGTAGGTGCTCCGCAGCTCCTTCACCTTAATCCTGCACTTCAGGGCGTCCCAGTCATGGCCCCTTTTCATCATGTCCTTTGATACCTTCCCGAAGGTATCATAATTCCTACGGCTGGAGCGCAGCTGGGACTGGACAGCTTCCTCCCACCAAACACTGATGAGGTCCAGCAACTTGCCATTGCTCCATGCTGGGGCTCACTTGGCGCGTGGAGGCATGGTCACCTGGAAAGATTCGCTGATAGCACTCCACGCCACGCCAGGCTGAGCAAACAGGAAGGGGATTTTTGAAATTTCCGGTGAATGTAAAGGGTGGGTCACATGGTTGGTTACCTGAGGCCAGGGCAGTAGAGTTTGAACTGATGACCAGTGTCTAGAAACAAGCATTGTGGGATACTGCCGAATTCTTCTGGAGGCCAGTCACAGCGCATTGGACGGCCACACTGGCGCCGCAGCACTGCAGCAGCAGCGCAATAGACGCTATTCCTCTCGGGGACGTGGAGTACATGCAGCGCTGCAGCCACGGAGATACAGCGCTGCAAATGCCTTGCCAGTGTGGACGGGGAGTTAGTTACAGCGCTGGGGGCAGCTTTACAGCGCTGCAACTCGCAAGTGTAGCCAAGGCCTTAGTTATTTCATTCATTTTTGACTGTTAGAAATATTAAGTATCTTATATGACTCATACAATAAACATGCATGAACGTTAATTGGTAGGGCTTTTGCTATAGAAGCTATTTCATATAGACAGCTGCAGTGGCACAGGAGTTTGCAGGGAAGACCAAGAGGCAGGCAGAGGAACAGACAGGCTAGTGAAGGGAGTGTGTGGTGGTCTAGCAGTGTTTTGGTGCTCGTTGGGGGGGTTGTTTTCCTGTGGGTGGTGGCGATGTGGTTTGTTTTTTTCCCAGATTTACAGGATTTAGGTGGGAAGCCTATGACAGATACAGAGGCAGCAGTGGTATTGACCCAAGCAGTGGAAGACAGAATGAAGATGACTGGATGTGGAAACTGTGGTATGTACATGATCCTGGAGGGGGTACCTGAAAAGAGTTTTGTCTGTATGAAGTGCCGACTGATAGAGCTGATGGAGGAAAAGATCCGAGGACTGGAGATGCAGGTGGAAACTCTGGTTGAGTTTAGAAGGGGGTTTGAGCAGATGATGGAGCAAAGAGCTGAGGAGTCTGAAGGGAAAAGCTCAGACTTGCAGATGGAAGCAGGACCAAAGAACTCTGAGGGGAGACTGCTGGGTGAGGAAAGTGAACAGTGGAAGCATGTGACTAAGAGAACCAGGCAGAGGAAAAGACGGCTAGTGAAGGAGAAATAGAGCTCAGGAACAGGTTTGCGGAGTTGGAAAATGAAGAAGTGGTGCAGGGGAAGAAGAAGAGAAGAGCAGCTAATCCTATAGGAAGAGGGGAAGAGTCAATGGAGATAACAGCACCAAATATGAGCCCCAGGAGGATACGGGATGGGTTGCGGAGGATTGCAAGGGTGAATAGGAATCGAGCGGACTTGCAGCCAGAGGGAACAGGGGATAGACCGAAGATTCGCACCATCACCAGGAAAAGGCAGGTCTACGTGATTGGGGACTCCTTACTGAGAAGAATAGACAGGCCTGTAACTAGAGCTAATCCGGAGAACAGAAGGGTGTGCTGTCTGCCGGGTGCTAAGATACAGGATGTGGACCTGAGGCTGAAAAGGATCCTAACGGGAGCAGGAAAGAATCCGCTGATTGTCCTTCATGTGGGAACGAATGATACGACTAGATTCTCGCTGGAACGTATCAAGGGAGACAATGCCAGGCTGGGGAAGATGCTTACGGAAATTGAGGCTCAGGTGATCTTCAGTGGGATTCTGCCTGTTCCTACAGAAGGGAAACAAAGGTGTGACAAGATTATGGCGATCAACAGATGTTTCAGGCAGTGGTGCAATAAGGAGGGCTTTGGGATGTATGGCCACTGGGAAGCATTCATGGACAGAGGACTGTTCTCTCGGGATGGACTTCACCTGAGTAGGGAGGGAAATAGACTTCTAGGATGGAGGTGGGCACAACTGATTAAAAGAACTTTAAACTAGGAATTGTGGGGAGATGGTTGGGAGATGTCCAGGTAATCTCCACACTGGATTTTAACATTGAGAGGGAAGAAAATGAAGTAAGAAAGGATACACCCGTGGGTAGAAGAATGGACATAAGGAGGAAGGGTAGTGTAGATACCATTTTAACAGGTGATACTGGGAGGAGAATGTCTGGGCCTAATCGGGTAAAGAATGTGGGCGAAGCCAAACAGCAAAAATTAAGATGTTTGTACACCAATGTGAGGAGCCTAGGTAACAAAA